GGAATCCAGCCCCTGTCACGGCAGAGAGCCGTGACAGGATCGAGAGGTGAGCAAACCCGGTATGTGTTCGCTCACTTCCCGATCTACTGAGCCGACCTGTGACAGTCTCATTGTCACAGGTCGGCTAGAACTATGAGGTGAGTGGAAATCTCCTTTAAATATACTGCGTGATCTGATTGTATCTACAACAACCCATCAGATTTCCAGGTGCAATTTTTAATCGTGAGCTTAAAAATTGACAGTTGGAGCACAGCGCTTTATTACCATTTTCCTTGTTGTTATTGAATTGATATCACTCTAGGGCAAATGACAGATCTGTAGTTGGATGTTTTCCTTGCTAATGTCATAGTTCAAACCGCACGGGTTAACATGCGTTGCAGTCATTTGCTGTAAAGTGTGCCCCATTCTCATTTTTCCTTACTTTTAAAAATATGTTTTCTTTCATATTTTTCATGTTTATTATTACTATTATAATTTTTTTTGCCATTGGAAAGTTGCCACAGACAGCCAGGCAGTTAGCATTTTCAGAAAAGCTCTGCAACAGCTGTTTGATATGTTGCTCAGCAGAACGCGGTGGACGGGGTCTTTGAACATGTGATCTTGGCGCCTGAAGATCGCACCCCAGTGCCATTCCACAGAACATGAACTGACACTTTACTGATACCTTTTACACAGTCGGCTGGGCTATTAACACTTTAGGTGCCTGCCCGGCGTGACCCCCTTGTGGGTCTCAGTTGCCTGTCTTGGTGGTTCACTTAGAATGTGAATAGCTTTGCAGCATGGCCGGGTCACCCAGGAGTTAACCTGTTTCCCGTAGGCCCTGCAGGTACATTCATTGGGAGGGGTAACACACAAAGAAAGGAAGGGGTAGCAGCTCACATACCGCAGATACCAGCAAGAATCTGAATATATATATATTGTGACAAGCTGACAAAAGTCTTTGTGTGCTCAATGCGTGATTTTATTGGCCGGAGCCATGTGGGCTTTAGACTGGCAGCTAGACGACCCTTAAAATGGTTGTAAAAAGTAATAAAAGAGAGTGGAGGTAAATATGCACGCCTAAGTTTTCAGTTTTGGGCTTGTCAGTGTCAAGGGTAAAAAAATAACCTCAATCTCTGCAATAAATGCGAAATTCTACATGTTTTATCCCTTTAACTCTTTTGCGGTTTGTTTGCACACGTTATAAATACATTTTAGGCCTGAGAATTACTTAAACCCCTAAAAATATATACAGTATATTACCAAAAGTATTGGGACGCCGGCCTTTACACGCACATGAACTCTAATGGCATCCGTAGGGTTCAATATCAAGTTGGCCCACCCTTTGCAGCTATAACAGCTTCAACTCTTCTGGGAAGGCGTCCACAAGGTTTAGGAGTGTGTCTATGGGAATGTTTGGCCATTTGTGAGGTCAGGTACTGATGTTGGGGGGAGAAGGCCGGGCTCGCAGTCTCCGCTCTAATTCATCCCAAAGGTGTTCTATCGGGTTTAGGTCACGACTGTGCAGGCCAGTCAAGTTCCTCCACCCCAAACTCCCCCATCCATGTCTTTATGGGCCTTGCTTTGTGCACTGGTGCGCGGTCATGTTGGAACAGGAAGGGGCCATCCCCAAACTGTTCCCACAAAGTTGGGAGCATGAAATTGTCCAAAATGTCTTGGTATGCTGATGCCTTAAGAGTTCCCTTCACTGGAACTAAGGGGCGGAGCCCAACCCCTGAAAAACAACCCCCCACCATAATCCCCCCTCCACCAAACTTTACGCTTGGCACAATGCAGTCAGGCGAGTACTGTTCTCCTGGCAACCGCCAAACCCAGACACGTCCATGGGATTGCCAGACAGAGAAGCGTGATTGGTCACTCCAGAGAACACGTCTCCACTTCTCTAGAGTCCAGTGGCAGCGTGCTTTACACCACGGCATCCCACGCTTTGCATTGCACTTGGTGCTGTAAGGCTTGGATGCAGCTGCTCGGCCATGGAAACCCATTCCATGAAGCTCTCTACGCACTGTTGTTGTGCCAATCTGAAGGCCAATCTGGTCCAATTTCAGCCAAGTTAGCAGTACTCGGTTGAAATTGGAGCAGTGTATGGCCAACATTAGGGTCAAGGAGCATTTAGCCAAAATGGAGATAAATGCTATGTGCCTGGCTACCATAGGCTTCAAAACTTACTGTCATTCTCCAGTCATCGCCTGTATCATGACTGCATTTGCATTCTCTAACCATCGCCTGTATCATGACTGCATTCTCTAACCATCGCCTGTATCATGACTGCATTCTCTAACCATCGCCTGTATCATGACTGCATTCTCTAACCATCGCCTGTATCATGACTGCATTCTCTAACCATCGCCTGTATCATGACTGCATTCTCGAACCATCGCCTGTATCATGACTGCATTCTCTAACCATCGCCTGTATCATGACTGCATTCTCGAACCATCGCCTGTATCATGACTGCATTCTCTAACCATCGCCTGTATCATGACTAACCATCGCCTGTATCATGACTGCATTCTCTAACCATTGCCTGTATCATGACCGCATTCTCTAACCATCGCCTGTATCATGACTGCATTCTCTAACCACCTCTTGCACATGCCTGTAGTCTCTGACCATCCCCAGTTGCATGTCTGCACTCTCTTGACAGCTTCCTGATGCGTTCCAACCATTAAATATTATATGTGGCCCTTCGGTGATGCCAGGGGCCGCACTTGAGGCCTCCTATATCAAGAGAGTTGACCCCCACTGCCTTAGGTGATAGAACGTCTTGTGTCAGACCGCATTCCACATGTAACACATAGAAGCGGCGGCCATTGAAGCTCTCTGTGTTGCTGTTGGGCTAGCAGTTGAGTTGATGTTTACAGAGTGATCCCGGCATGTTATATAGATATATTTGCACTGAAAAGGGTGTTACAAGAGAGGAGTACTACATATATATATACAGTATATATATATAACCGCCGTCGTTGCTGGGTGGGGCAAGTATGCAATGTTGTTACAGCTACAAATCTCCATAACAACGACTAGGTGAAATGTGAAATGTGAGGATTGTGACTTCGCTGAGGTTTATATTTCTGCCGGTGGAATATATAGAAAACCATGGTAAATGTATCGTGCTTTTTGTGTACTTTTTTAAAAATAATCTTAAGGATTAAAAAAATTAGGAAGAAATCTTGTGCATCACATTGTTCAGCCAGCAGGTGGAGCACTGGGCTCATTTTCACATGTTTTGCTGTATTGGGGAAAAAAAAAAAGGATGTTGTGTACAGAGCTCGATACGCTGTACAGTTTTTTTTTAATTTTCAAAAGTCTTTATTGGAATTTCATGGAAGATTTAAGGAGTAAGAAAAGGACATATAATCAACAATGCATATCATCTGGAGATAAAGGCTAAAACAGACACATTGGTTTTAGTCATCCATCAGCCAAATTAGTACAATGACATCGTGGCCAGGATGCAGGGCAGAGTTTGAAAGAGAAGGAGACCGTCTGAAGGCAGACGGCTTCTGCAGGGCTGTATTTTTAGGACTCCCCTAGTGCTCTGTGGATCCCGAGTCACGAGTCTGCCTTAAAAGAGAACTATGGGGTAAGTGTTTTTCCCTATGGTTCTATGGTTCTCTTAAGGGTCACGGAGGACATATACTAGCGTCCTCCTGTGACCCGAAGCTCAGTAGATAGCGAGCTACAGCTCCCGGTATACTGAGACCGCCGCAGCCGGGACGGATCCCGACAATACTGTCGAGATCCACCCAGCTGCGTGAGTGACCGCTGGCTCTGCCTATCTAGTCAGCGCTGGAGGATCAGACAGGTGAGGGGGGAAATCCCTGCGAGGAGCCGTGACTGACAGTCACGGCTCTCTCCAGGGACATGATCGAGAAGTGAGCGAGCGACGGTATGTGTTCGCTCACTTCCCGATCTATTGACCTGACATGTGACAGTTTAATTGTCACACATCGGCTCGAACTATGAGGAAGAGTCATTTTCAGTCACCTCATAGTTCTCCTTTAAATTCCTATTTGTAAAAGAAACATTGTATATAAATTGTAAACATATGATATAAAACAGTTAAAGGAGAACTATGGGGTCAGTGTTTTTCCCCATAGTTCTCCTTAGGGTAACGGGATTACACAAACTAGTGTCCTCCCTTTACCCTAAGCTCAGTATACCGCGAACTACAGCTCGCGGTATACTGAGACGCCGCACCTGGAGCGGATCCCGACGTAGATGACGGGATCCGCCCAGCTGCGTGAGTGACAGTGACAGCCTAGCTAGAGGCAGATCCAGCTGTACCCGCCCCCTCCCCCGTCCGTTCCGCCAGTCAGCGCTGGCAGATCGGAGCGGGGAGAGGGGAATCCAGCCCCTCCGTGACAGGATCGAGAGGTGAGCAACCTGGTATGTGTTCGCTCACCTCCCGATCTAGTGAGCCGACCTGTGACAGTCTCATTGTCACAGGTCGGCTAGAACTATGAGGTGAGTGGAAATCACTCATCTCATAGTTCTCCTTTAACCATGTATAATCTTAAAATACAAAAACTAATAATATTGCCCTGAAACCTCTATGGTTCCACAATGCTCCAGGCAGCCTCGGTCCACCCTTGGCTCCAAGTCACATGAGGGAGCTCAGGAGCAATAGCTTTGTTCTTGATGGCATATAAATAGCTCTTCTTTTTTAATAACCAGAATAATAATTGAATTCCTTCACTCTGAGATACGTCCCACTGATTCACCTAAGGTGTGAACTTTAATGATAGGTCTACTAGAGTGATTATGGTCATTGCGGATGAAGTTCCGAGAACACCAGTATGCAAGAACCCATATGAACTGGTCCAATAGCCTGACTAATAACCTGATTTTTGATTGGCTGTTCAGGGTGGCCATTAATCTTTGCACTGATATATTAAATATTTCCATGTGTGTCAGAGTCTCTCTGCATCTTTCCTCCTCTGAATCACTCCTCCTTGTCATGAATTCGGTTGCTTACCACATCCTTTTCTTTCCAGGGCCCCAGCCCAAGCCTCAAGTGCTTGTTAAAAGCCTCTCCTTGGAGCCGGCTCATATCCCAATACACCCAGAGAAACCCCAGAGGCTCCGATCTGATCCTGGAAACTCCTCCGACTGTAATGGGTCCGTCCCAGATCCCTGCAACTCCAAGCCGACACCTCCCAGACGTCCAGCTCACACCAAACCTGAAGGTGACTCTCATTCATTTTCTATCTATATCTATCTATCTATCTATCTATCTATCTATCTATCTATCTATCTACCGTATCTATCTATCTATATCCATCTATCTATCTATCTATCTATCTATCTATCTATCTATCTATCTATCTATCTATCTACATCTCTATCTATCTATCTATCTATCTATCTATCTATCTATCTATCTATCTATCTATCTATCTATCTATCTATCCATCTCACAGACAGCAAAAAAATAATATTTGAGAGAGGATCTGCACCAACTATATTAGAACATTCATTGTATTACCGTCTTTGTCCACATTGGATGGATGTCATGTCACGGGGACAGGAAGTAAGGAGAAGTCTTCTCAACAGGGACACCAACAGCAGTCAACGCCTTATAGATATTCTAAACCTTTCCCATTGTAGGTAAAAAAAATATTTTTGATGGAGTTCCACTTTAGCTGCCCCAGTTGCTTTAACATAAAATTATACTAAAGTCATCTTGGAGTAAGATGAAGGCTCTTAGTATGCAGCCTCGTGCTTTCATGTAGTCACAAGACTCCTCTTAGGATTAGATTTTACACTTATTCCCTTTATACCGGCCATGTGGAGGCTCCTCAATGTCCGAGCGGGCCACCATGGCTGCATAAGGCCTCAAGCTACGAGACAGTTGGAGATTGTGATTGCTCTAATCCCCCCCCCCCCCCCCCCCGCCCCCCCCTCCCTTCCCTTCCAAAAAAAAAAGTGAGAGTTTTATTTTGAATGTGATGCAGACAGATCTCTATTGTTCTTTGGATTTTTTTTGGTATAAGGGTGAATGTTCGGTTATTACCGGAATATCCTCCAGCTGCATCTTTAGATTGTAAGCTCTCACAAGCAGATCCTTCTAACCTCCTCATGTATTGAATTGCATTGTAACTGTACCATCTCCCTTTATATTGTAAAGCGCTACACAAACTGTTGGTGCTATACGAATCCTGAATAATAATAATCATAAAATAATCTGCTTACTTTTTGTACAGTTCCTCCAAAGCCCGCACATCTCCAGAGCGTGAGGAGACCCCGGACTCCAGGTCATATTCCGCCACCCCCTTCGCGTCCCTTGCCAGCAGACCCCCGACTCTCCCGGGCATCCCTGCGTGTGGACAAGGATGGGACCCCCTCAGCAGTTACCTCCTTGATTGAGAAATTTGAGAGGTAAGTGAATGAAGCTTACATGGCGGGATATTAGCAGCTAGACTTGTATCAGGTACGGTCCAAGCAGGGCTAAGGGTGAACTCCAGGCAAATATAATAATACACCAGTTACTGCAGTTATGTATTCATTAAAGAAGAACTCTGGTCAAATAAAAAACTTACACTTGAAGTGGGGCCACCCCCTGGCTGCAAAAGTGAAGTGCTTGTTTTGTCTTGAGGGTTCCAATCAGATATACTCACCTGATCCCGGCTCCCACGGTCGTCAGCGTTTTACCTCTCCCCCACACTGCCCAGACTATGGAATGTCCCTCGGCGGCGTCACACTCAGTGTAGGTCACCTGCATAAGACATGATGATGTCAGCGGTCCTTAGATTGCTGTAGCCCAGGAGAGAAGAGGCTGTGGGGACCGGTCTAGCAGCCCAGTGGGGCAGTAGCAGTTAGTGAAGTGCAGTGACATCAACGTACTTGTAATCCATTCATACTTCATCCAGTAAGTTACGGGGGCAGACAGAGACTGGGAGGAAGAGTCTGCAGGAGTTGCAGCATTGCACCCGTGATCCACTGATGGAGGTTGCAATGCTCTGCAGGCTCTGATGCAAAACAAATCATTAAGGTATATGCACCTTTCATTAATTTTGTTTTGCAAAAACTAGACTTTGTGTTTGCATTTCTATTGAAGACAAGATATATTCCACTGTAAGGCCCCATTCACACGGGAATCGGCCGGCACCTACAGCTCCGTGCTGCGTGCACGGCTGTATCGGGCAGCTCCCGGGAAGGGAGCTGCCCGATACGTACGCTCGTACGCTGACGGGATGGATCCTGTCTGCGTCCGAGCCAGTTAACACGCACCCGCACGGACCTTCACTTGAAGTGATCGTAGGGTGGCGTACGGCCGCGTAGTCCCATAGAGAAGGACGGGGGCTGCGTACTAATCACACGCAGCACCTGTCCTTCCCGGGAGCTGCCCGATACGGCCGTGCACGCAGCACGGAGCTGTACGTGCCCGCCGATTCCAGTCTGAATGGGACCTAAAGGAACTAGATAGAGAATATGAAAAACCTGACAAAGGCTTTAGCTTTGTATTATCTGTAAGGTGCAGCACCTTTATCATTTCTATGCATCCACCTGCAGATAATTGGGTTCTTCTAAGGAGTTCTGTCTATATCATCATGTTCATATGTCTTGTCCCCGTGCTGATGTCTGTATCTCCATAGACAGAAGATGATCATCTCCCAGTACCACCAATATCTACAGGATCAAATGTAATTCTGATTATATAAGACACGTTGGGGTAGAGTAGGTGGCCTTGAAGGAGCTTGGTTGGGATTAAAGGATAAGGACTCTCCCAGGATAAGTTTTTTCTCTTAAAACAATAGCAGCTGGCCAGCCAATGTACACTCATCATCAGATAAATATGGAGGCTGCAATCATTGACCTATCTGGCTCTGAGTCTCTGATCTGCAACAATCATGGATGTGAGTAGTCCTTTATCTACATTCTTCTTCCAGGTCAGCGTGACAGCCATGCTGCTAGCCTTTTTCAGAAGGAGAGTTCATCAGTAGTAGCGTACGTGTTTTTTTTCACAACAGGTTTCCTTTAAACATGCATGTTTGTAGGGTATGAAGAAATCCATTAGTGTTGCTGACATCTGATTGCTGCAATGTCTACTGCAAAGTGTAGCCCTGACAGCCTGACCTTTCTGTAAACCTGTCGCCATTCTATTACCAATCAATAAATAAGCTTTGACTCAAGCCCTTATTGACCTCTACAGCTGCAGGCACTGTGGAGCAATTCATCTTTAAAATTTGCAATGGAAGCACTACATTTGTTCTAGCCAGTTCTCTCTACAGCTCAGATAAAACTGACTGGTGATGACTGGAGTTCCACTTTAATACAGTCCAGCTTTATCTCTCAGTCCTACTGATTTTGATCTTTTCCCCTCTCTCACAGTAACAGAACTTTACCATTAAAACGTAATCACTGTTTTCTTTATCAAAGCATTCCATCACATCATTTTCACCCTGTTTCCTGTTGGAGGCTTATACACAGTATCATCACAAATATTCCCAGCCAGATATTCTTCAGAGAATTTAACCGTTTATGTACCACATCACCATATTCAAAGAAAACCATCCACGGATTATCACACTGTAAAGAAATTGTGGAATTTAGTATTAGATCAGGATATCATTAAAATAGAATTTTACTTAATTAAAAAAAGGAATCAAACAAATCTACATTTTTGCCATTTTGTTCTGTATCTCTCAGCAGTCCTTGTGGTGGAGATCCCACCATATGTGAACATTCGCAATCAACAGAAATTCTTTATTCAACCTCAAATACTATGTAACTATGTAACTCCATGAAGGAGTGACCAGGGCCGGATTTCCCACAAGGCCACCGAGGCCAGGCCTTGGGGCAGCAGGAAATAGAGGGGCAGCACAGCAGCCAGGCGGATAGATTTAAACATGCCTCAGGCGATAAAGAGAACCTGTCACCTCCAAATGCTATCACACATCGGCTTGTTAGCTCTTGTGTAATAGCAAAAAGTTTTTTAAAAATACATAAAAATGTATAAAAAAAAGTAAAATATAATAAAATGTAAAATTAAAAAGTAAAAAATAATAAGAAATAATGAAAATAAATAAAGTGATAAAAAAGTAAAAAAATTAAATAAAACAAATTTTAAAAAGTAAAAAAAAAAGAAATACAAATTAAAAAAAGTGATAAAAAAAGTAAAATAACAAAATGAAAACCAACCCTGCCGCCCCCCTCCATCTGGTTGCCATTCTTCAATTGGGAAGGGGTTTGGTGGGTAGTGGGGCGCATTGAGGAACCCGGCCTCTTGGGGCAGCAGAGAGAGTAAATCCAGCCCTGGGAGTGACCACTGGTGGATTAAATTACTATTGTGCCTTAAAGTGACACTAAACCTAGGAGTTGAATCTTAAAAATGCATTTAAGTACTTTAACTATTAGCAAAAATGTATCTTATTTGTGTATCACTCGTCTGTAGAGCCTCCAATCATCTCTGAATTGGTGCTGACACTGTCCTTCCTTCTGGAGGGGGGCTACTTTTGTTCCCCATGGTCCCTGTGTGTTGTAAAGTAGTCACCGCTCCTAGCTCACTCCTGTGATGGACTACAGTCTCATGTGATTTGTATTGAGATCGTAGCCCATTATGGGAGCGAGCTTGGAGCGGTCACGACTTTACAACACACAGGGACCATGGGGAACAAAAGTAGCCCCCCTCCAGAAGGAAGGACAGTGTCAGCACCAATTCAGAGATGATTTGAGGATCTACAGCCGAGTGATACACAAGTTAGTTACTTCTTTGTTAATAGTTAAGCTACCTGAATGTATTTTTAAGATTTATCTCCTGAGTTTGGTGTCACTTTAAATAACAATGCCCATTACGAAAGAACTGTGTGAATTGTCGTACAGCTCAAACCTACCAAGGAAAATAAAGGTTACTGTGGGGCAGAACAGACAGTTTTTATGATGCAATGTTGACAGCCAATTGTCTGCAGTGGCTTCCTCATCTTGTTAGGCTCAGCTAATATCAATGAGAAGTTTTTTTTAAGCTGTTTCACTTCAAACCTCACTTCAGGAACCCTGGACCAAGAGCCATGACCTATGTTGGGTTGGCCAGTGCTTCGAGACGGTGGGTCGTGCAGTGCTGCACAGGCAATGCCTTTTCTTCTAAGGCTGTAATGGAAAAGCCATCTCCCTTAAAGGAGAACTATGGGGTTAAAGCTTTTCCCCATAGTTCTCCTTAGGGTAACCGGAGGACACAAACTAGCGTCCTCCTGTCACCCTAAGCTCAGTATACCGCGAGCTACAGCTCGCGGTATACTGAGACGCCGCAGCTGAAACACATCTCGACAATTATGTCTGGATCCGCCCAGCTGCATGAGTGACAGCTGGCTCTGCCTATCTAGAGGCAGAGCCAGCTGTACCCGCCCCCTCCCCCGTCTGTTCCGCCAGTCAGCGCTGGCGGATCGGAGCGGGGGGAATCCAGCCCCTCCCCTGTCACGACAGACAAGACGTGACAGGATCGAGAGGTGAGCGAACGCCGGTATGTGTTCGCTCACTTCCTGATCTACTGAGCCGACCTGTGACAGTCTCATTGTCACAGGTCGGCTAGAACTATGAGGTGAGTGAAAAGCACTCACCTCATAGTTCTCCTTTAAGGCTTGCAAGTAGGTTGCCTCTTCATTAGGGCCTATAGAAATAAGTGGAGGATGGGAGCAGCCCTAACACGTGGTACAGGTTACCTGCAGGTCAGAGGTGTGTAGTGGGGGCTGTTAGTAATGTAGTGATGGCAGTTAGGCTTAACATAGTTAAAACTACATTTATCCTTTAGCCCAGCTCAAGTCCAAACTTTATTTTTTTCATTTTTGGAATGTTTGCCATTGGGACAGTAACAATAGCCTGCAGTGGTTCTAACCATTCCCATTTTACTAAAAATAGGTTTAGTTGTGGGTCCTGAAGAGTTGTGGGGGTAGGAATTTAGGGAACATCATGGATATTCTTTCCCTTCCCTTTCTGTCCATAAGGGAAAAAATAGAAAAAACCTTTTTGGTTGTAGTAGACCTTCAAGGGATAACTGGAAATCTACCTGCTTCACCCCTTAAAGTCTTATCCTAACTTGTTCATAGCTTCCCGAAGATCTTTACGTTTGTGGCCTGCTGTGAACCACACAGCCACCACCGTAGAATTTCTCAAAAGATCTCTTCTTACAAAATGATGTTAACTTCTATGGAGAGGCCATTCAATGTTGGAATGCATAAAGGATAGTGAAGGTCTCTAAAGACCATGGCCAGCGAAGTATAAGACTTGAGGGACTTGCTGACCATACATGGCTTACTGCTTGCAAATCAATAAAATAAATTTAACTTAACCATTTTTTATCATTTTTACTCCACAGGGAGCCAATCATCCCACCTGAACGCACTTATACAGTCAACGACTCCGACGGCCACACCGAGGTCAACATCGGACCCTCTCAACACTCTGGCTACAGCATGGGAGAGCTGGAGAACAAACTCTTGGATCTTCTTGAGCCAGATGCTTCCCAGGCTAGTCTGGAGAGGAGGCGAAGACTTTTGGTGGGAGGGGGAGATGCAGAAGAAAGGGGTGAACAGGACTCCTTAGGAAAATTGGCAAACAGGGACAGTGGAATTGACAGCATCAGTTCTCCATCTACCAGCGAGGAGATGTGCTTCCTTGGGGAGGTGGAGGAAGGTGGGCGAGAGGAGATGGAGCCCCCACATATTACAGCTGAGCATGGCTCTACTCGTGACTCAGAGGGTGATAGTGACATGGAGGATGGCAGTGGGGCAGAAGAAGAGATGCCTCTCGAGAGGTTAGACCCATGCAAGGTAAGAAGAGTTTGCCGAGTATGATTGAGTAGAGTATGGTTCAAATCAAACAGCTGTTCAGCATGTGTGTGGAATATGTTTGTCTAGTGATCAATCCTATGTCTAAAATTATCACTGGAACAAATTTGAATGATCACACCAAGCCTCAGCTCCAGTGCTGCATTTTCCCTTATTGTATCATCAGCTGCCATCAAACAGCTAATTTATATTACACCAGATATTGCTGACAAGTCTTGCCGGTTTTTAAAGGAGAATTCTACCCCAAAATTGATAGTTATTTTGGTAAAATTATGAAACCCCTGGTGCCTGTGAAGGTCAGAAGGAGGTCAACTGCAGGTCCAATGCACCAGAGCTGATCTCTGAAGCATCTCAATCTGATGTTGATAACACAAGCCTAGTGTCAGGAACCGGATCTGAACCCAGGGCCTCTACTGTAGCTGGCAGTGTTCTACTTGCTGAGCCACCTTAGAACCTTGGTTAGCTCCTTGCCTGATCTTCTGTGTAATCCTCAGTTAAACCTAGTTTCTGCTGAACTCTGAACTCCTTGCTCCTCCCTTGAACTTCCTATTTAAGCCATGCCTCTGCCCTTCCAGTTTGCCAGATTATTGTGCTCCTGCCATTATCTTGCTTCCTGCGCCTCTTGTGATACGATCCGCTCATACTGCTACCCGTGTACCGACCTTTGGGTGCTGATTCACCGACTACTCTCATTGTCTTCCACTTCATACCTGATACCTTTTGTTACTGACCTCGGCTTGATCTCTGACTACGCTTCTGCCTGCTCCTCCACTACTACCGTCTGCTTGTGTACCGAACTCGGCCCGTTTGACTACGACTTTGCCTGCTGTTTCAGCTACTGAACTCCGAGCCTGATCCAGATTGTGACACCTAGAGTCCGGCTACACTTGCCTTTACAGTTATATCACTGGCTGGGAGTAGACTGAGGAAATGCTTCCTCCTGCTTGCAGCAGACTCATGACATCATTCTCCCTGACCGCACCTTTCCATGTAGGAAAAGTTGCATGCCTGGAGCTTAGGTACTACTACCGGCGGTGCCTGGAGCACATGCCCCCCCCTACCTTCAGTACTGCCCCCAATCACCCCGTGCCTCCCCTTCCCCCACACTGAACCACTATTATCTGGCTTCTCCCCACTTTTTCTATAACCCGCAGCCTGCTCAGTCCGGGAACTGACGAGATGCCCCGCCTCCTGCAGAGCCCGCACTGTAGTGAGAGCTGCGCATTCTTTGTGACAGCCGCTGCTTGAGTCAGTGAGAGGCAGCCCCGGAGCCTCCATGCTGCTTCAATGACGGCCCAGCCTGCACGGCATCAGAGGGGCCCACCAAAATTTTCTCATGGACCACCGATTGTCGACCGCTGAGGTAGAGAATAAAGTTGTGGCTTCCTTCCTGTTTTCAAGCCATGAGCAGCATTCATATCAGACTGTGTGCTTGTGTTTCTCTGTGAGGCTGCGCAAGAAGTTCCAACACCCCCATCTTGGATAAATGGTACGGATTTTGGAGGGGCTACACGTCTTTATTTATATTTATGTTTTTTTGACTGGGGTTCCTTGAGATTTTGCATTCATTTAAAAGTATGCCATGACTGAAAACATGTTGAGGAACGTTGAACCACTGGTTGGCGACCGCTGCTCTAGAGTAGCCATTCTCAAACAGGGCTTCTCGAAGTTACTAGGGGTGCCTTGGGCAGTGGCTTATTGGCCTCCCATCCGGTGTCTGCATAGTTTCAGGGCCAACGGCTGAGCCAGTAGCTTGACAGCACAAGTATAACTAGCCATACACCGGTATATTTTCATATGAACATTCATATGAAAACTCTGGTCAGAGCATTTGATAATGCCATCAGAGACTTTACGAATGCCGTTTGAAATATAATTTGATTTTAACTACTTGCATGGAAATGGACTGATGGCAAGAGCCTTACTGCGGGTTGCCGTACATGTCCAATAGCTGTTTTTTGTTTTCTGCTCAGGGGTAACCTTATTAACCATTGGAAAATTGAATGAATGTTCTGATAACAATTTTTTTGCAACTAATCTCTCTTGGTCTATGGCCAGCCTAAGGGGGCATTCTGACCATCCATTGTAAGAGGGGTATTCTTCCCACTGACCATCCATTGTAATAGGGGTATTCTTCCCACTGACCATCCATTGTAATAGGGGTATTCTTCCCACTGACCATCCATTGTAATAGGGGTATTCTTCCCACTGACCACCATTGTAAGAGGGGTATTCTTCCCACTGACCACCATTGTAAGAGGGGTATTCTTCCCAGTGACCACCAATGTATGAGGGGTATTCTTCCCAGTGACCACCAATGTATGAGGGGTATTCTTCCCACTGACCACCAATGTAAGAGGGGTATTCTTCCCACTGACCACCAATGTAAGAGGGGTATTCTTCCCACTGACCACCATTGTAAGAGGGGTATTCTTCCCAGTGACCACCAATGTAAGCAGCATTCTTCACACTAATCCCCTGATGATTTTGTTTTCGTAGGTGTCCTCCGAGACCTGAATTTTTTTTTTGGTTTAAAATATTTTGTAGGCGTTTTTACAGATTACATGCTCAGTCAGCATACAAAGCATTGCAACCAAGAGGGAAGAAAAGGAAAATCTGGTGCATAAAACCTAAATAAAACAAAACTTGTTTCCAATGGAAAATTATAGGAAACAGTCACAGCTTTAGAGGGTGCAATGGCACCCAGGCAACATAGGCCGTCAAGGCAAGGAATCCTGAGTCATGGGGAGCCCAAGTGTCGGAAGACGGTTTGAGAAGAGGTGCCCACATGTACCTATTGTTTGGGGTAAGGGTAGGGGCAAAAAAGGAGGATGGATGGGCTGCGGGAGGGGAGGTAGGGGGGGAAGCAGGGGGATGGATGGGCTGTGGGAGGGGAGGTAATGGGGAAAACAGGGAGTTGGATGGAATGTGGGTGAGGACAGGGGGTAGGGGGCAAAGCACGGGGATGGATGGGCTGTGGGAGGGGAGGTAATGGGGAAAACAGGGAGTTGGATGGAATGTGGGTGAGGACAGGGGGTAGGGGGCAAAGCACGGGGATGGATGGGCTGTGGGAGGGGAGGTAATGGGGAAAACAGGGAGTTGGATGGAATGCGGGTGAGGACAGAGGGGAGGGGGGAAAGCAGGGAGATGGATGGGCTGCGGGAGGGGGGGTGGGAGTGGGGGGCAGGGAGATGGATGGGCTGTAAAGCAGTGTGGCCTCCCTTGGCTTTTGAGTAGCACCCCAAATGAATCCATACAAAGGTTTAGGGGTTTAGGGAGTCTCTGCAGAAATTGACTTTTTTTTAAGGGTTCCTCTGGGGTAAAAAGGTTGAGGAAGGCTGCTTTAGAGTGTAAGTGAGAGGTTTGGGAATACATTTGGGTAATGCCTTCACATACCCTTTAACCTGTCTCAATAATGGACAGCTGTATGTAGAGCTCTATTACGGACACTGGTATGCACCAATGCACAAATGATTATTGCTACCATCTTGCAATGATTTCCAATGATTAGAAATTTTTGTTACAAGGTTTTATTGACATTCAGATCAATTGCGAGCAATCACTCTATGCCACAACTGTATTGGAATTTGCAGTCGCACGAATAGGAATCTTTAGTGTAATAGAGCCCTGAAATATGGCGAGATTCTCTAAACCCAAAACAATTGGGTATCTGTTTTCTCACTAATTAGTTGGCAGTGTTGTGTCTGAAGCTTTTGAATCAGAAGACTGAGTCATGGAGAGTCTGGGTTGTGGGAGATTGTCAAGCGTCAGCGTTTGTGCAACATTGATGTAGATAGCAGCTTTGAATCAATAAAGCTCGGAGGCATTTATTACATGATACACTGCCCACATGGCGACAGAGTACACAAAGATTTTGGTTAGGTTTCATTTCCAGCAGCAGCCCTCCTCTTATCACTCTGCCGTGCCTTTGTGTCTGTATGTACTCCCCGTTATTCTCATGGACTCTTAAGCACCGTACAACAAAATGAGTCCATTATTTCATTTAAAGTGACACTCAAGGCAAAATCTGTTTAAAGCCCATCTCCGGGCAAACAAAAACCTGCAAGGGTTAAGTGCTTGCTTATGTCTAGGGGCAGCCTGAGGCAGCAGAGGGACGGTTACAGCGTCCCAGGTTGCTTAGAGCTCCTACCAACCTGTGACGTTCTGTCCGGCTTCATGCCCAGCTCACTGACCCCATCGGTTACCAGGGAGCTGAGCAGACACTCCGGCTGGCATCCTGCTCAGCTCCTGGCAACCAGTGACGTCAGTGAGCTAGGTGGGACCAGACTCGGAAATGGGCTTAAAGCAGCATTAAATGCTCAAACTTTTTTTCAATAATGAATCCAGATCAAACAAGTATACATTGCCCAGCAAAGCATTGCTTTACATCTTTGCCCAAACACTTGCAATCATCATGTTTCTGAACAGCTGCTTCCAAGTCTCTCAGCTCGGCTTCCCTAAACTTCCTGTCCACTACAAGATCACAAAGGACAGTGCAGCCATTGCAAACTTCATCTACTACCCTGTTTCCCCGAAAGTAAGACCTACCCCGAAAGTAAGACCTAGCGCTATCTTCAGGGATTTCTGTAATATAAGACCTACCCCAAAAATAAGACCTAGTTCGGTGGTAGGTCTTATATTACAGAAATCCGCTAGGTCTTACTTTCGGGGTAGCTGCACATAAACTGAATTTTAAATGTAAAGACCGGCCACAGCTCCCGCCCCGCCCACATGTCCGCCTACACGCCAGCCGTAGCTCCCGCCCACACGACCGCACGCACGATGGAAGCGGCATATCATCCGCCAACCCCGGGACCGGCAACAGCACGCCGCCTTCCTGGACCTCGTCCAGTCCTCACCCACCCAGGTAAGACATCCCCCAAAAATAAGACCTAGTGTCTTTTCTCGTGCAAAAAAAAAAAAAAGACTGTCTTATTTTCGGGGACACACGTTACCTTGGAGAAGGAGGATAGGGGGCCAGG